CTTCACCGACTTTGCCCCCTTGGGGAAAATCCCAAACAGTGTAGATAGTCAATTTGGTGTGATAGTCACCAAAGCTTTTAGCACTGTTTGATGAGGCAGCGTGATAGTCATCAAAGCTTTTAGCATCATCCAAGCTGATGATGTATGTTTAGCTGGTCTTTTTGGATGATCAGCCACACTGGGACTGAGACACGTCCCAGACTCTCTACAGGAGGCAGCAGTGGGGAATCTTGCACAGTGGGCGAAAGGCCCATCCCTAAATTGGGTAGAACGAGGTAGCTTTTGCATGAGCTGCATGGTGTTTTGGCAACATTTGAATTGAGAAAACAGACATGAGGAAGCCGTTCATGGTCTGTTGTGTATCCTGCATTTTGCTGTGTAGTCTTCAGATAAAAATAGAAGCAAGGGATGCAGGTACGGGTGAGGAGCCAAGCTTGTATTGCTGTGGTTGCCCAACTGGATATAGCTGTTAACATACTTGTAGCATGGATATTTTTCCTCACCAACGTAACGTAGCTTCAGTTGCATTTTTTTATTAATCGATGCTTGTTTCTGGAAGATAAGAATTGTGAATTTGTTGGGAAGTGTGTGTGTAGCGGACTGCAGTGGAAGGAGGTAACCGGTGCAACCTTTTTTATTGGGGGTGGTTGATGGATTTCTTATGGGTTCATGATTTGGTTGTGCTGAAAGAGCTTCGGCAATATGGTGGGCGGCCAGGCATGGTGCCATGTACTGGGATTTGATGATATCTGTAAATATTTTGTGGTCCTTGATGCTCTTCAGAGTTCTTCAAGTTAATGAACGAAGTGGAGAATGATGACCTGGTGTACACTCTTGAGAGGATTGTCGACAAGTTTGGGGAGGAGATAGCACCGTATGCACTTGGGCTTTGCCAGAATCTGGTAAGGAAATCAAACTTCATCCAAGATTCCACCCTTTTTTCCAGTTGTTAGCATGTGTTTGTCTTTGGCCTTTCGAACTAGAAGTGTCCTGCTTGTTTGTGAGAGTTATTGAGAGTTGGGATTTTTGTGGGGCCAGAATCTAATGAGCAATTCCATCTTTTTCCAAGAAGCGCTGTGCAATTTTTCTCTCCACTCAAAAAGTTCTCTCAGGAGTCTCAGCACCTCTTTCCGGTAGTTAGGATGCATTTGTCGCGGACCTCTTGGACTGTAAGAGGCCTCACTTTTTTGTTTAAATTATTGAGAGTTTGTTCTGCAGGACTCAAGTTGTGGGTGTTACTGTGGAAGATATGTTGTGGTGGTCGTACAGTTGTTCCAGGGTCTTGTTTTATGCGAGTATCTTGAGGAATTTTGTAGGCGTATGTAAATGTGTACTGCCATGTGTGACATGTTGTGACATGTCCAAATGAGCGTCTTGCTACTATGGTTAGGGTCTGAACATCAGGTCAGCAGTTCCACCGGAGTCTGAATGCCTGGGGCCGGTGTGCGCGACGTGTGGTCTCGATTTGTCCCCGTGGAAGGGAACTTGAAAAGAAAGGGAGCTGGGGCTATGTCCCAGCCAGAGCCAAAGGCTTCTACAATGTTGTTGTTGCTGGTATGTGTAGCCAGACCAGACTGGACAAGCATGAGGGCGAACTGAAAGTCCGGCGCTGAAAATGAGAACCAAGAGAAAAAAGTTGAAAAGTCAACAAACAGCGAGCAAAAGAGAAAAAAAAGCCGGCATTGGCTTGTGCTGGCTGTTTTGCATCATGGAAATGGCGCAGGTTAATAGCAGAGTAGAGAAATGAGATAAAGACAGCTGCTGTTGACGAATGAATCCATTGCAGTAGCAGTCAGAGTGGCCAGCCAGATCTGCCAGAAACCAAGAATGAACGAGGGAATTGAAGGACCGTATCTCAATGTCCTCCGCCCTAGCTCTGACATTATTAGGGCAGGCCAAGCGGAGCAAGAAAAGGTTTAATGTATCAGGCAGTAATCGGATCCAGATATATTCGTTATCAAAACAGACAGAATACCGAGAGACTTGTAAGGACGTTCTCACGCTTCCATGAAATTAGCTTCTCTTAATCAACGTGTCCCTGTGTCTGTGGTGACATCCATATTCACCCAGCAAATCGTTTACTCTTCGTGTTTTTTGAATCATGGTTCTTATGCCGTTTCCGTCCTGTTCTGTGAAGCGACCTTGAAGAAGGTAGATGGTGCAAGCTCTCTGGTTGAGGGTGAAGTTGATCTGTAGCTTACTCCTGCCATCTTTCTATGCCATGTTTTCATTCCTCTCTTTTTCTTTTTGTTTTGCTTTCTGTTGTTCTTCCCTGTCACCATCATTTGTCATGTGATCCCACATGGACCTGTTGAGGGATCGACACATGAAACAGGCATGGAGCAAGTATTGTATCTGGACGCATCTAGATGCCAGGCTAGGATTTCTGGATGATCTGAATGTAGTCAGGATATCCAGGCAATTCGGGCATATCCAGACCAATGTCCGCACTCAAGTCTGGATGCGCCCGGCATGCACGTTCTGGATGAAAATGGTTTGAACTTTGAAGTCTGAGCTATATGCCATCTTGATGTCTGCTACGGGATCGGTCTTTCATCTCTAGCAGTCTATAATGATGTGCAACCTTTCGATTTGCAATTTTTCACTAAATGAACATCGAGCCTTGTTGAATGTACATGGCTTAAGCTGATCTGGGGGACAATGACTGGTAAGGGTATGTTGGAGAACTTGTTGGAATGATGGATCACTGTCAGTTTTCAACTGTGCTTTTACTGAGGATTGTGCTGTGGATGGTGTTTGTTGCATGCCATAAATGCAGGGGAGCGCTTTTTGGAAGTGCCTGAAAACGTCTGAGGCTGGAGATGATGACGAGGATATGGGTGCGCTGGCTGCAGTTGGCTGCTTGCAAGCGATAAGTGCAATATTGGAGTCGATCGGATCTCTTCCACATCTGTTCCCTCAGTTGGAGCCAACACTGCTGCCAATTCTGAAGAAAATGCTGACAACAGACGGGGAAGGTATGTTCTCAAGATGTCAGTCCCTAGAGATGTGATGTTTGGGGAACCTTGGGAAGTAATAAGAAAAACACAAGGTGGTTCTTGTATTCTGCTGGATAATGCCTGTGGTACAGCAGATAATCCTGAATTATGCTGGCTGTGTGATGAGAAAAGGATGCAGTTCGCAAGAGGATTGGAAAAGTGCCAAGGGTAATGCAAGCATTGCACCGCAAGTCCATAACATGGGCATGTGAGGGATATGAGTAAGAAAGTGGGAAATGCAGGAATGACCGGTGGTGACGTCATGCAACCAATGATTACGCAGGCAAGGGTGAAAAGAGGGCACTTTGGGACCTATACGCAATCAGAGCTGAGTCTATTTGTCATGTGAAATCATTCTGAGGTTCCGTTGTTGTCGTACGTGCTATAATCCTCAACTCTCAATGCAAAAGCTCTCAAAAAGACGATGCCATTCCGTTGCAACTGAAATGAAAGAGATTGGAAAAAGAATTGAGACAAGGGACGAAGAAGAAGAAGGTAAACACGAGTTGAGACCAATGTCACCTTTCCCGCGTCTCACCTCCATCAGCTCTCCTTCATAACCTCCTCCATCATCTTATTATCCAATAATGAACAACAATGAATGAAAGAGCCAGATTCAAATGTCCGATCACTCCCGCTTACTGCCAGCATTCAAAAAGATCTCCTTTCAGCTGTAACCACGTCGCTGTTCTTCACTTAGTGGCATCCCTAGCTATGGTGGATCATCATGTGCATCATGGATGTGCAAAGGACAATGCAATCGCTACTTTGCCTCTCCCGTCTTAGTCCGCCATAGCCGCAGCTCGGCAGGTGCCGACACAGGGGGCTTCTAGATGCAGTGCGGACCAAGGAAGTGGAGATGAAGGTCCACCAAAGCCAAAGGTGAGTCTCGTAACGGGTTCCCTCCAGATCTGCCTTTTCCTCGAAGTGCTCCGCCAACCTCCTCATCTGGGCCGTGCAGCATAATGCTCACTTGAAGAATGAACCAAAGTGTCCAGCTGAACTCGTTGGACCTGCTGATATACTTGGACTGCTGGCCTCCAGAACCTACTTGCCGGGCAGTTCCCAGCACTACCCGGCCTCCCTTGGGTTCACCAGGCCTATCAGATGTTCCTGCCAATCCCGTTTTTGACAGGGACATCGGCCGGCAACTACATGTATGCAGGAATCGTGGAGGCAATCCTGCCATCTTCCCCTGGACACAGCACACGTTGATCATCAATTTACACAAGCTGATTTTTTGGCCTCCACAGTTATGACGAGTGTGTGTTGTATTTGGGGTCGGAGGCTTGTGCACTGTAATGCTTTAGAGGGACCCTTTCCCGGGTGGTGTACCTTGGAACTTATTAAAGCTCTTTTCCTTCTGATGATTGGAAAGGGCCTTACGGTCGTGGCTCCATGTGTGTTCTGGGGGGTGTCAGTCTGGTTCCTGTCCCCTTGCAAGATGAATGGCAATTATATAGAATGAACCACTTGACACATTCTTGACACTTTCTTCCGTTGAGTCCGAAGGAGCTCTGACCAGCATTGATCGTTGCATGAAAGGAGTAGATTGACCTTCAGTTTGCCTTTCCCTTATACATTCCCTCTAAGAAACGGCATTTTCGGGCTGTTGTATAACTAGCAGGAACTTCTGAGGACACAAGCTGTGTCTGTGTGATGGGTTGAACGATCGCTGAAGGCAACACACGTTTTGGTAGTTTATCACCTCCCTCTTACCTAGTTTGTCCTGGTTCCCCTCACTGGTTGTCGGTTGTCATTACTCGTTGAACTATCCCACTTCTTCCAGCTCAGTTGGTTGTCGTCGATACTGGTGATTTCGCCTCCCAGAAGCCACCCTTTGTAGAATGCTCTCTGTCTGGCAGAAAATTTGTCTGGCTTGTCCTTTGCTGCATGTCTGATCGCAATCATTGCATTCCATTTGCGGTGAATTTCAGTTTCCACCAGACCGATGAGATGAGACCAGGCTTTGGGAGGCAGCAAAGAGTGGAACCTACAGCTTTTGACTCTCTCCTAAAACCAGGTCGCTCCAATGCATGTTGGGAGGCAGCACATCATCCGAGCACATCTGGCAGATATTCAAAGCTGTTGGGATCTGCGCCCTTACTTCGTGTAGGCATCTCAAACTGCTAGTACAGGGCCCCAGCGTTGCAGGCTTTCTTCCTGGTGTTCTCATTGCCTAGGAAAGTTTTGGAGGATCAGGGCTACCCGGCTACCAGACTACAATGGCTGCCGCTGGTGGTTCAGCAAAGTTTAGCGCGCAGTACGTCTCACCAGGCCGGTTTGTACTACCTTAGGCAATCAAATCAGTCATTGTAGACTGAGCACTTGTTCATGCAATTTCTTTAATAGTAATTCACACAGGAATACAAAAATCTTAAGGATATCCTTTGGAATCTCGATTTGTTGATGTTGCTGATATATGTGGGCTGTGTTTTGCATGGAATGCAGAGGTCTACGAGGAGGTTCTGCAGATCTTGACATACTTGACTTACATTACGCCAACCATCTCTCAGGGCCTTTGGGACCTCTGGCCTCTGTTGATGGAGGCAATGGATGAGTGGGCTGTTGACAACTTCGAGTGTATCCTTCTTCACGAAGCATAAATATGATGGATTGGCAAGGAGTAGCATGTGCATCACATAGAATCCTTGGGAAAGTATGATCAGTTGGTGGAAAGTCTGCTGGGTGTTTTTTTTTGTTATTTTGGAAATTTATTGGCATGCTTAAAAAAAAAAAGGGCGATGGCCTTTAGATATCATCTTTGAACTGACCAGCCCCAGGCAACTCAGATTGACTTCATTCTCTTCATCTGAAGGCATCTGGAATCGAACTTGAGTCTGTATTTTACAGTTCGGGGCTGTACCAACTCAGCTAGGGCCGTTTGGTTACATGATTCCTTGATAGTTTTGCGGTTCTTACGGTGACAAGTCATTTTGTGGTCACCTTTGGTCTTTCATTCTCTTTTTTTATTGGGGTTAGTGTAGTGGGATTTCAAACTCGTAAACTTAGTTTATTTTCTGAGCATTGTTATTTCATTAGTGTGCATTGCTCTCTCTGTGTCTGTGTTAATTACCAGCGCCGCAAGCGGAGCAAAGAATGATTAGTTTGTTGATTCTATGTAACACGAGTTTCACAGGCATGCCGTTTATGAGAACATTGTGGGCAGGTCTGGGGAATTGATCTTCATGAAACATTACAGGTGGTTTCTCTTTTGAGGGGGGCAATGTGTTTCCCTTCGAGCGATTTCTTCTATCAAAATCCTTGACAGTTCTGAAATGCAACAGACATAATAAATCCGATTGATAACTACATCTCCAGAGGGACCGAAGTCTTCCTGACTTGCAAAGAACCAAATTATCCTCAGAGTCTTTTCAAGATGATAACGCAGGTATTGGAGCGAAGAATGATTCGTTTGGGAAATATGTGATTGTTTGTTGCTTCTTTGGTGGTTGGCTATGATGTTTTCCTGCAGGACTGTTTTTATTCTCTTTGTCCCCCCCCCCCTTCCCCCCCCCTTCCTCACAAATGAGTTAAAATGGACCATTTCACGATCTATGCATGCCATCCTTGTGCAGGGGGATGCTTATCTTCACTGCATCCTTCCGGTTTTCAATGGATGTCCCAAAAGGATAATTTCTGTGCGAGTTGTGTTTGGCGCATACCTGTGGCGAACCTGCGCAGCTCGCCGTGCAGTACTGCGTGCACTTTTGGGTTGCACTAGGCGCAGGCCGTGTGAGACGTGCGCTCACTTTTTTTTTTTTTGGTTTCTTTCATGTGTGTGTGTGTGTGTGTCTGTGTGTGTGTGTTTGTGTGTGTGTGTGTGTGTGAGAGAGAGAGAGAGAGAGAGAGAGAGAGAGAGAGAGAGAGAGAGAGAGAGAGAGAGTGTGACATGCTGCGCCTGCAACAGGCTGCACGGGCCATTTTCAGGCCCGTGTTGTTTTCAGCCTGAAAGCCTGAAAACAAGGGCCTACAGGCCCCGTGTTGTTTTCAGCCTGAAAGCCTGAAAACAAGGGCCTACAGGCCCCGTGTCATTACAGCCTAAAAGCCTGAAAACAAGGGCCTACAGGCCCTGTGTCGTTTCAGGCTAAATCAGGGCCTTTCCGGCCCTGAGTATTTTCAGCCTGAAACTGAGGGCCATTTTCAGGCCCTTCAGGCAGCAGACCAGGGTTTTAGCTCAGGCCATTTTTGGCCTATTTTCATGACAACCTTTGTTTGAGCTTCAACCCCAGGGTCTGGCACGTTTTGGCATTGGCAAGAGCAGCCTCCTGGACGGGCCAGCACTATATAAGACTGGCTCTCCCTGCAGGCTGCAGGTAGTTGGGAGGTATTTCCTAGGTACTTCCCAGGCACTTCATGTGCAGTTCAGGAGGTAGTCTTCTGGATTCGGCAGCAGCACTCTGGAGGAGCGCTGCAGTAGTAGTAGCAGCGTTAGCAGTAGTCTTCAGCGCTGGGCGCTAGCAGCATTAGCTGTAGTCTTCAGCGCTGGGCGCCATAGCAGCTAGAGTAGTACTAGAGAGAGAGAGATTGGGCGGAGGCCAGAGGGACTTACCTGCAGCGCCGTTGCTCCAGCTTTGTCTTCGAGGTACCTGCAGGACAGCGCCATCTTCACAGGTTAGTACCTGGCTCGTGAGAGAGAGAGTTCTTCTTCTTCCTCTTCTCAGTCCACCATCGCCTTCTCACCCTCTCGCTATCTGAGTTCACTGCATCAGCAGACTACAAGAGAGAGAGAGAGAGAGAGCTTGGTGACATTTGGATCCAGACTCGACATTGTACTTCAGACATTTTGAAGAGGGATTATTTGGGACTTGTAACGAGACTTGGTGTTGACGACTTTCCCATCTCCACCTTCCTCTTCTTCGTCTGATCCCCTCCTCTTCGTCTGTGTATGTCTGGACCTGGCGCCTCTTTCCTGTGTACAACGCCAGGCCCCTGCACACCTTGTGATGAGCGTGATGTATGTTTAATCTGCGTTGAAACATTGATTGGGCTAGTCATTAGTATTCTAGCATTCTGCTTCGCTATCTTGTACTTTGTGAAAGAGGTCAGTCCCGGTCAGGTCAGGACTTGTATCTAAGTCTTCCACTGCACTATGAAGCACCATTTTTGTATGTATCGGAATGCACATTGCTTGTTGAGATTACACTTGCACTGCATTGTCCATTCAGTCCTTTTTATCACATTGTGGATCCTCGGTTATTATGTACATCACCCAACTGGGCATGTAACAGTTGGTATCGGAACACCGCACGTGAATCAGGACAACCTGATCTGACACGTGTGCGGGGACTAGGTAGCTGATTAGTCTTGATTGATTGATTAGAGCACACTAGTTAGCCCCCCAAATCACTATTTTTTTAGTATTTTGACCTCACTGCCGAAAATCGATTTTTTTTTCTTTTCTTGGATTCTGTTTTCCGGCTATATCTGTTGTGGAAAATCGCAATAGCGCAACATCTGAAATTTCCGTTTTCGTTTTCTTCTGAGAATCCGAAATTTCGTTGTTGGAAATCCGGAATATCGTTTTCTTGAAAATTTCGATCTCCTTTTGCAATTTCCCGTTATTTGGAAATTCAGAATATTTTTTTCCGAAATTCGTTTTTCTGAAAACGGTACAGGAAATCCCTCTTGCAGTACCATTTTCCAAACTGTGAATACTCTCATCTGAGTAAGTCTGAATACATGCTATTTCTTTTCGGAATTTTTATTCGCAGTTCTATGATTTTCACTACCTTATAATCATTGGCAGTCTGAAGTTCGAAAAAAAAATTCTCATTGATAATTTAGCACTTCAAGGGAGGTTGGGAGACCTACTGAACTTGCAAAACTTGGGATTTTTTATTTTCTCGAATTATTTTTTAATAAAGTTCAAACTTCTCTTTTTTTGATTAGTGGCTCCTTATCTCGGTGATTTATCCCACCCACCCCTCCCCACCTATGTTCTTGCCCCCTCTGGTCTTACCTCTCTATCTGTCTCCGGGTACCCCCTGCGGCAGCATTGGTGAGCTGCCACGTCAGCAGGCCATGTCAGCAGGACACAGCAGCCAAACAGTGCCATGGCAGCAGCAGGGAGTGCCACGACAGCAGTCCTCCGGCCTGATCAATGCTCATGCGCTTACAAACAGACGGCATGGATCAGAAGTCCGGGGAAACGGATGAGGCCTATCAGGCCCGAGCAGAGATCAGCATCGGCCGAAAGTGGCCGTGGTCGCGGCAGCTACACCAACCGACCAATAAAGCGAGGCCGTGTCTGCCAATGAAGGGGACAGACTCACAGCCGCCCGGGATGGTGGCCGCCCCGGCAAAGGCTGAGGACGCGGCAAGATGAAGACAAACACCACATTTATCCTCGGGCCCGACGCAGCAGCTTCACCCCCTTGGACCCACTACGGCCAATCGGGAAACTGAGCACCGTAATGCGCAGCATTACGCGCTCATCTTCACAAGTAGTTATCCTGTGGTCTGAAATGCAGCTTTCATACACTTGACACCCGGAAGTCGGAAGTTCAGGACTCTGTGGTGTGGAGTGTATGCAAGTCGCATTTCAGGTTGGGTACTGTCATGATGACGGCACTTTGTTTTGATGCAGCCCATTTTCAGAAAAGAACGAAGTGCCCATATTATGTCTGTATCTTAGTGGCAGTCCGCTTGCGGACAACGAACAAAAGTGGTCGTATGCCCATTGGAGCAGAACTTTTTCAGGCATTGGCGTGGGCCCAAAAAACATTTGCACGCAGCTGTTTCCATTTTTCATAGTCAAGGGGCGAGGGGTGGAACACCCCTGTCCACACGCCACATGCACTGTGCGCTTTGTGGCCAACAAAACAATTGTGATGTCCAAAATTGTGTCAAGGACTGTCCTATTTGAATCAGAAGGAGAACTGAAAGAGCCGGTGTTGAAAAATCACATCACATGCTGCAGAGTATGTTCCCCGCTCCCATTCCTTCCTCCACTGAATTATAATTATTAAAGATTTTAAACCACCAGTAACTTTCTCTGCTGTAGTCCCATTTGGGAAAATGATCTCATCCGAAAAAATGGCCGCCGGGTGGCCGCTGATATGCTTCATTGGCTGCTACCGGCCTCTGAAATGAGTGGGACCCACCCGGCGGACGACTATGGGTTTTCTGTGTTGAGGATGGGGTGAACTGCACACTGTGATCGATGTAGAGTTGGACTGGTCCTAGACTGATTCTCTGCAGCAAGTGTTCACTCTCGGTGATGACCGTGTCGAGAATGGGTCTGGCCATTGGACCCAACTGGCAGCTATTGAGAAAGCGGTTTACCAAAAGAAAAATCATCCAGTGATATTGTCGTATCACCTCTACGCCTTGCCTCCTTGCTCTAAAATGTGGCTTGATTTGCAGAGTTTAGTTTGGAGTCCCTTCTTGCTGAAACATGTCCCTGAAAAAGTTGGCAGAAACTTTGCTGCTGTTCCTTGAGAGGTACGATGCAGGACCAGCTGGCTTGGTTGTCCAGGCTAGACATGTCCAGGGCACACCCTGTGTGGCATGGACGGTTCCCACAGGGGGCCCTGCAGGGCCCGACAGTAGGTGTAGGGGACTCATGGGGTCTTGGGTTTGTCTGTAGGGTCCAGGTCCTGGACGGGGTCTGTTTTGTGTTTTCAGTAGGGCGTCGTTTCAGGCCCAGGTTCGTCGGTAGGACCCGGTTTTCAGGCCTGGCGCCTTTCCAATTTGAGGCACCAGTTGGGCTCGGCGTCGTTTCAGGTTTTGGCCCCAGACCCAGTTGCAGTCGGTCAGCCTCATTTTAGGCGCCACATCATAGTCCAGTCGGCCAGGCTCTTTCAAGAACTTGCATGCTGGTGGCAGCGCTGCTGGAGCGGACACTCGTGGGCTGCTGCTGGCGCTGAGAGGCAAGGTGCTAGCGCGTGCGGTCGTGCAGGGAGCAGGGCGCTGCTGAGGGCAGCGCCATAGCCCAGCCTCCATAACTGGTTGGGCTTGGACTACAGTGAGTCGCAGGGGTGGTCTTCAGGTGTACAGAGGGAAGACGTGGGTGAAGAAGAGGGAGAGAGAGAAGGATGATGATGATGATGTGAGGGCACACACCTGGTATTGGCGATGGTCTGCTATGGGCGACATCTTCAAGTACTTCGTGGGCTGCTGACGTCAACAGTTGCATTGTCAATTAGTAGGCAGACTTTTCCTGTGTAGGAAGTAGGTTGGACGCCGAGCGCCAAGGTGGGAGATAGGGCCTAGACATTCGTGTTGGTGGTGGCGAGAGCTTGGGTTTCAGTGTTTTGCTTCTTCATTGGTGTTATATTGGTGCATTTCTGCTTTCTGGACACTGTGATACTATCTGGTCTTCAATGTGATTGTGCATGCTGGACATTGTCATCTCGCTATTGCTCATTTTCCTTGCACTGGGAGGCC